ACAAGTAATACACTTTTTAAGAGAAAGGTCCAGAGCGTATTCCGAAAACGATTTAGAAAAGTATTAGGGTATTATATAATGAAATATTAGGGAAAACAGCTTAAAGATTGATCATGTGCAGGTCGTAAGTGCTCAAGTATCAACTAAACAATGGCAGGACCTAATTAACTTACATGCTGCTTATATACTGGCAAAAATGTTAGGACATGTTGCAGAGTGGTTGGGACTAAAATTAAAAGCAAGGGGTTGAAATTAAAGGCGTCTTTATAGCAATGATTTGGGCAAATTTATCCGTACTATACCAAACAGAATAAAAAATTCTTATTGTACGTCTTATTATATTCCCTTCGTATACCAAGTATAACCATAAAAGTAATTTTTTTCATAATAAATAACATTTGCCCTTGCCTCTTACAAGCATGGCATGTTCTTAGAGGTAACGAAACAAAAAGGTATAATTTTCTTTGTCTTTACACTCGGTTATTTGTAGCGCTTTTTGGTCTTAGTTGTTATGTATAAATCTCCTAAATTATCAGTTCATTCAGTTCCTAGCGGGGGAAAAAAAGTTATTAACAACAACAACCCATATAAATTCAGGACCAATCGAAGCACGATAGACGCGACGGCAGCGGTTAGAAGTCTTTCGATCAAGTGACGAAAAACAAGGGAAAGCAAGTGTAACTTTTATAGACCTAAAAGAGACGAATCAAAAAAAGAAAACATCTTCCGGCCTAGATAGCTCAGTTATAAAACTTATCTAGCTATCTGTATGCTACCGAAGCTCTGTGTATGTCTGTTCGATTCAAATCCACGCCTAAATTGGTTAGATCGAGGGGACTACATTTGCCGGATCGCTATAACACCGTCCGAAATAGCGCTGCGCAAAAATGGAGGAGGATTTTTCCCAGTGGACTCCGTTCTTCGCAGACCGCTATGATTCCTTCGTAGAGGTCTATGAACAGGTTGTGTGGGCTGAGATGGTCCTTTTTATTGGGGTTCACGCAGGAGCGGGTCACTTTTGATACCAATCGAAGGCTTGCGTCGAATTGCTAAACAAATACCTAAAAATGGTCAAAATCCCATTGAGGAGTTCGGCTCGCCCAGGCGACAGCAGGGTGAAGATGTGTTTCGGCCTCTTTTTGAGTGCCTTCTTAAATGAATTCCTAAGCAGTGTCAGCTGGAAAGTTGTAGCGGCTCATATAACAAACATTTAAGTTGACCACTTTTTTAAGAACAGTACTAAAGTGTAAAAAAACATTCTTTTATACAAAGTACCACTTAGCTGATGCCAATTAATTTACATCAATTCGTAGATCTTATTCAAGTTGCAAGCACCAAAATACCCAAAACTGTTTGGGTGGTGTAAACCAAAATGGTGTATTATGTAAAAGGGGTTTTCTTAACGACAATTGATGGATCTCGATATAAATAGTAACTAACTAAGGGGAATATTTTGAAGGACAACATGAAGATCGAATAAACCTTTTATAATGATATTTTATGTTGATCTATTGATTTTGTTCCCATCGTATCATCCGTACCTAAGGATTTTGTTAATAAATAGTTATATATAGGATTAAGACACACACACACACACACACACACACCGAATCATCACTAAAACTTATTAATGTTTTGTTAAATATTTACATCTCTTTCTTGGATTTTTTCTCTGAAAGAAAATAGTTTTCCAAAAATTAACTTTTTATCTGCGGCTTTATCTTTCCAATTGACATTTATTAGGAATTTGCCCAAATAACTGCTCGACTGCTACCCCACTGTTACATGCGTGAGGCGAGCTCCTCAATAAGTCTCTTACCATTTCCACACCGAAATGTCCAATTTAGGTATAGAAACTTGTAGTAAAGTGTTTTGATTGGTAGCGAGGACGATCCCCTCAACATACCCAAACTCCATGTAAACATTCAGCTACCATTTTATCAATTTTTATTTCAATTTTCAGTAAAAACCTTTCTCACAAGTATTTATGAAGGAGCCGTGTAATCTAAAAAGACGACAGTCTTTTCCAAATTTACATTACGTTTTATGGGATGGAAGACAAGCTGTCTTCGTGTAAAAGTATTTACCTAGATGACCCCCTTCTTACGCGCAGCCCGGCTTCCTATTTGCAGGTGGTACCCTAAAAACCTGCCAACCATCGGCCTGATCCGGCCTCTGTAAGGAGTTGATTTAAATCGTACAAGTAAACAAACAAGCACAGAACTTTAGTAGTATATGTAGTTAGTAGTATAGGATAAGTATATATATATATATATATACAATATACAACCTTGCCGGTCGGGGCCGGTTCCTTTATCAGAAAACAGAAAGCGAACGTTGAAAAACTCCCTTGCTTATGTCATCATTAAATGATATGGAATATTCGCTCAACTTTTGCAAGTGTGTTTGAAACAATCTTTAACCTTTTTTTTTAGAAGTACCAGCGTCAGATTAGACAAAATCATGCCCTGTTTCTCGCCCGCTGTTGTGCGTTCCCAGTTTGCTGTCATAAAGGCGTTCATTCGGCCTTGTGGTCTCTACGATCCAGATAAGCCCACTGTCTACTTAGATAACGGTGGTTTACCCCCCGACGCGGTGCGTTTAACGGCTAATGCTGTGTTTGAACAAACATGGTGCTAGTGGTTCGAGCTTCACCGATGATTCTGACTACGGCGTTTTCGAAGGTTTAGCTAAACGGTTGATTAGATGAAATAGTTTTACGTTTGTTGTGGGACACGTTCAATAAAGATACTTAATAATATCTTTATATCAAGGAATACCGTAGCTACTTTGTGAGCTCTTTTAGGTTTTTTTTTTCTTTTTTGCATAGATCGATATGCTTTTCGTTTTCGAGAAAGCTGCACATTATGGGTGACTGGTTGTGAGCCATTCTTAAAACAACTCACTGACCAGCAAAACTTCACAAGAGTCTATGAGAAATCATAATTTTCAGCCAACCTAATTCAAACTTAAATAGTTACGATGATCATCTATTCAAACCGAAAAACTCAAATTACACCTTCAGGATGTGCCTATTCGCTGCAGTTCGTTCGAAGAATCAGGTCCTGTTGACTAACCGAATCGGTCACAAAAAAATACTGCTCCACTTTTTTTTTAGACAACGACGTCGGTATGTTTACTTGTTACGACCTTGAAAGTAACTAAAACCGTTAAAGAGGTAGAAAAGTCCTTAAAAATACGTTCGTTGAAAATCGTTTTCTATCCTCACTTAATTTCTGTCTTCGTTGTACTAAATCGCGAGGCGGTGCCTTTCGTAATGCGATTCTAAATGCAGCGGCCATAAATACTAGTCACACAACGGACAGAGCATAAAAAGGGGTATCTTACTAACAATGTTCATCAGAGTTTCCGTCAAAACCCAACCGCAGTTTGATTATCCGTCGTGCACAGTCCACACTTCAGAAGGCCTTTGTCCGCTCGTTTTAGAACGCAATTTGCCTTTAGATGACAACAAAGGACGGGAATATCCCTCGTCATTGTCCTTGTTCTCCTCTGTTCTTCTGGACGACGTCGTCCGCCACGTTATATACGCTTCCGTTATGTGGAGAACTAACTGCTTGTGAATGCAGGATCTCATAGCGATACAATCGGTTCTTCGGTGAAAAATGTGTGTAGAGGCCGCTGTCCTAAGCTCGATCTAACTACGAGCCCAGCCTCGGACAAGTCCAGCAAGTTTCAGAAATCTTAAGTATAATCAATCAGCAAAGAAGGCCCGACAATGAAATATCTGGATCAGCATTAGTTCTGAGTAAAAATTCTACTTAACTTTGAAACTACCGGATCAGTGCGTACGGCAGATTTGCCTAATATTCGTTAGCATCCGACACTATCTATCGACCACCAGCCACTACCAACCAATTTTCTCGTAATCGAAAGATTTTCATCTTATCGCTGTTGATAAGATGCAGCGATAAAACACTAATAATAGAAACTAAACAACATGTGCTGTTTGTTCAAGTGCTGTTCCATAGCAGATTCGCCCACACCTCATATCGGCCTACTATGCAACGGGTTAATAGATGGAATAGAGAGCAGTAACATAAAAAGTGAGCAAACTGACGAATACTACGTCTGTAATATCCGTCATAGCTCCGAGGATTGGTCGGGCTAGAGAACGTACGTCCGCGAAATCAGACGGACTATTCGGACGAGCATTCGGAAGCATAAGCCTAAGAATTGAGTTAAAATTGTATTGTATGATTTAAGAGTGCCGATCCTACGCGCGCGGATGTTTGCAGCGTCATCTAGACGGATCGTTTTAAAGTTATCGGAAGAAATTATGTTGATACAGGCTAATATTTATATCCTTAACTATTAGAGTAACTGTCGTACAACCTGTTCCTTGTCTGCTGCTTGTCTTACAGACTTCAGACAAGCACTTAACCCTGCCTCATGATACAATCATATTCCATGTTGTCCATACAAAAATAAAAATATGTTCGCTAAGGTTATTTTTATCGACACGATAGTCAATGGCAATAGAGCAAATGCTATTGATAAAGAGATCTGTCGCCTTCTATCTTAATGAATCGGGCCAAAGCTTTTCTAGCCGGCAGCGGTATTACAGTGACTCATAATGATAAAGAACGTGTTTTAAGAGGCGAACACTCGTGGTTTTGCGTACTGCCGAAACATTCAAAGGTTTTTCTCGACTTCAAATAAGTTTTCCCTTCAATTCGGAGCCTGCCGTAACCTAATTATCGAACCGGAACTTTATACGTCAGTGTAGCAGCTGGCCGTTAATTGCTTGATGCCAGCAAAACGGTAGCCGATGACACTGGATGGTTAGTACGCGAAAAATAGCACCGTGACTGCCTACATCGAACAGATCATTGCAGATTTAATTGAATTCAGTAAAATGTCGCAGATGTAGCTGAACCTGAAACGGGCGTTAACTAAATATAACATGGCTTCCACTGAGATAAAGTTTTGGCTCTTTGTTTTTTCAGTGTTCCCAAATGACAACGTTATTACATCTTTAAGGGTTAACATAACAACCAAGTTTATTTGTCTCTTGCTCATTTTTGTCGTCGTGGTGGCGTTGCGTCTCTGTTTTTGCTTAAAGTATTTTACAGGGTATTTACAGGCTGTATGGCGTGACTGAATGCTCTGTTAATTGAACGGTGTAATTGTAACGGCACTAATCATCAATTATTTTTGTTTATATTTTTTTATGACGATTATTGTGAACAAGACTAATTACGTATATGAACAGTCTGTTCATACATGACATAGAGCAAACGTCAAGTCAAGTCTGAATAGGTCTAATTAAGGGAGCTAGACAATTTTCAAGAATTTCGTCCTTGCTTCTTCTCTTGCGAACGAGAAGATGATGCTAACTAATTAATATATGGGTACGGATAACATCGAGTGGCAAATGCGTGTCAAGTTAACTCGTATAGTCTTCATGATAGACAATTGAACCCGCTCTAATTCTCAGCGTGGCTATATCTTGTCGGTGCTTCCCGAAATGTTCCTGACGAAGTGTCTATGCTTGCGTTAAACGGCGATTACGTCAAGCGTCGATAATACGTCTGCTGTTATGTTTGTCGTTATCGCTCCCATGGAGCTCCGATAAAGCAGTGTTGTGCGCCCAATCACACCACGCGAGGTTACGAACGCCTTCGGAAAGGGCCATTTGATGGATGGGCCTCCTAATTGACTTTGGATAGCTATAATTATAATCGATCGTCACAGTAATTATAAATGTTATTCTATCCTCGGTGCTGCGAGTTGTTACCAACAATAGCTGTCTACAGAGATATAGAATCGTTGCTTCCCACTGAAACTACTAGTAGGTCGTCAGTATTCCAATGGCCTAATTGCACTAAAAGACGACATATCGCAGCGTCGAGTATTCCGATAGTCAACGGCTTGTCTAGTGCGTCTGCATCAGTGCGTCATACGTCTACTATCTAAAACGAAGTCATGCGTGAGCCGCAGAGGCGGAAACGACCCCAACACAATCATCACCATCAGTCCCTTCTGGCTTTGTTCAATCCTGTATACGTACCTTTTGCATAAGCTCGAACTTTCCGATCTACCATGTACTATTTTATCTTTTCGCCAATTTATTATAATCGTTATTACGTGGTGATGATCTGCTCGGATACGGCTCGAAGTATTGAGTATTTTTTGGCTATCTTTAAAACTTCCTGTCACTAATAGCAATGTTGAATCATTTTAAGATAATTATTGTTACTACAACGGTATTCGTCTTATTATCATGAATCTTATTTCTGCTCTAGTTTTCTCAATTTCTTTTCTTACGGGAACATTATAAGCGTGCCGTGTGAAAGGGGTGACACTATTGTTCATGGCCTTTTGACATCCGCTTGAACGATACATATGTATTACAACGGTTCCATGGAGAGGCCCTATTTTTCTGCTTACTCAACAGTATTTATGCCGTACCTATGCATGTTATAAATATCGCTGCGTCCATCGGTCGTATGTTTCATATAGGTATATTGTTTTGACGCTATTACGTTCTACACATACCTATGCCCACAGGTCAAGACCCGTTTACAGTGACCATTAGTCGCATTTGGTTGGATTACATATATATCGACCCGGTTTTAGCACTGGGTGCGGACGCTGGGCTCATGTGCCTGTCCAGCTTCGAAATCTTTTCACAGCTATATGTCTACTCTACTGTATCATATGCTTATATATGTACCGTGACTGTGGGTGTATCATTCGTCTATGTTTGCTTCATACGTATCTTCATTGGTACTCATTTGCTTCTTAACATCATTATTATGCCTATCATTTTCATTAGTATCTATCATATTTATCGCTATTGGCAATTCAGCCTCTTGGATTGCTCTCGGAATATGTAATCATGGTCATTTCCTTCAACAATTTCAGTAACGTATTTATAGACAGCTGTGTCCTTATATCTTGTTGTGTCCAGCGGGCGTAATCTCTTGCTGGCGGACGCCTAGACAGGGTTGGACGAACTTGGTAGTATTTAACCTAAATTCCCATTCATCGTGCCACTTCCTAACCGAGTGAGTCAGTTGATACTGTTTCGCTAAATTTATAGACCTCCTGCTCGTTTTAGAAAGAGAAGCATTGCATTTGTGATATCTGTATTCATTTTTTTCGTAATCCTTATTAGATTAGCATTATGCAGTATGTTATCGTTATAATCTTCGTCGTCATTTCTGTTGTTACTCCTGTATAATACAATCACATTCAAGGCTTGTGAGGGAGGACAAAAAGGACACAATATTTCCCCTACTTCAGGAACGTCTGTTTATGTGTGTTCGGGGCCTACTGTTTAGCTTCTTGTGTCATTCTGTTTTTACCGTCGAAATTTTCACGACGATGTTTAATTGTTGTCTCCGAAATAAAGCCCAGACTAGCCTATGAAAAACACCAGTCTACCTATATATCCTTTCAATGACGACGGACATTACGCAACCAACTTCTTTCGCAGTCTAGCCCGTCAAGAGCAAGTAACGATCTGGATATCGTGGAAGTACCACGAAACAAGTCTTTTTTTTTTCTTTTTTACCAAACAGCATAATTTCTTTTCAGCGGCCCATGGGTAAAATGTATCGGATGATCTAATAGCAGCCACAATGGTTCGCCACTTCAGCCTGCCTTTCCACCATCGTTACGACCGTTTAGATTTATTAACGTATCGTTTTTTCGTTATGTTATTGTTATTATATTGTTATGTTGTATTGCGAGCCAATACGGGGAGAACGGCAAGCCATCGGTCATATTGCAACTTCCCAACGAAAATTCGTACTCTGCCCCTTTACCTATATTGTATCTATTTTGTCTCAGCTCGCAAATAGACAAAACTAAACTGAAAATGCCTTCTATTTTAATATTTGCCTAGGTGGATTTTGCGGTTTTCTATTACACTAATGGTAAAACAGGCAGGGGCTCCTCTTAATGCCTACCCTGCATCATTGTAGATGTTAAATTTGGTTTTTTCTTCGTTAAACACTTAGTGACAGGTGCTACCTAAAACAATATTGTCCACGTCGTTTGCAAATTACTATTAATTTGCGGTTGTTTGCATTATGTAAAAGTCTATCAGAGGATAATATGAGCGTCGTCTGTCGGCTAGCAGACGAAAACAAAGAATATTGCCTACTCATTGTGCTTCAGCAACCTAGTTAGGATATATCATGCAAATCTTCGGTTACGTGTTAAATTTAGGGGGAATCGCAGTTCACTTTCTTCAGAGCAATGATTAGACATTAACGCGGCTTGTGCCGTTGACCATGCGGTGGTTGCGTACGATCCCCCCGATTGTTATGCGAAACAGATTGGTTAGCTATTTGAAAATGGCTTAAAGTTAGAAGATTCCCTTACTGTAGAAGCCTCTATACGTGCGGCAACAAAAGATGGCCAACGATTACACTAGCATGCGGATATCAGCATACGGAATGCTGTCTTTACCTTAGAGCGTTAACGCAGAAGTATGTATTCTTCTTACGCCTCATTGACTTGGTATTGAAATTGAAGGTTAGAATACATTTGATCCGTAAACAGAACCTGCGCATTCATTTACAACATCCCATCTTACAGTACTTATTTGAAGATGCAGAATTATTGTATTAGGATAAGTGGAACGATACAAGTTTAAAGAGTTATAACGGTTGAGAGCGGCTTCGACGTCTGCGCGACACGCTGCCCATCGTAGGGGATTCTCATAAAATGGCAATGCTCCGCTCATGTTAGTTGAATATGCGCCATCTGTTATTTTGTTATAGGATTTAATCTGTCTCATGTTATGGGAGCTGGTGAATAGGAAAACTCTGTGATCTCCTTAGCTCTTAGCCGTAGCTTTTGCGCTATTACGCCCTATGAGGTAGTACGTCATAAGCTGGCCTTTGCCTTTGACTGTAACCAGACCTCGCTGCTCAAACTCGAAGCCAAACGTCTCAAGGATCGCCTTTGTTTCTTTGACAACTTGGATATAGCCGGCTTTGCCTGTCGATTCCATACGGGATGCGACGTTGACGGTGTTACCCCATATGTCGAAGTGGGGCTTCCTAGCACCAATGACACCGGCTGTAATCGGCCCTTGGTTAATACCCATCTTAAGAACGAAGTTGTTGAAACTTTCCTTGTTAATTGTATTCAATGTGTCTTTGAGAGCAAGTGCAAACTCGGTGAGGCGGGCTAGGTGTTCCCATCCGGTCTCAGCACCCTCATCCGAGCCGTACAACCCACTGGCCGCCATATATGTCGAACCAATTGTCTTAATTTTGTAGATGCCACGGAAGCGCGGCTGTTCTAGCAGGGCATCGAAATCGCTAATAACCTCATTAAGGAATCGTAGACATTCTAGGCCCTGATTGTTGACATCATCTTCTGTATAAAAATCACTGAAGTTCGGCATTGCTGCAAATAGAACGCCGACGGCTTCATAACTTTTCGAATAGAGTTCCTCATCAGCTTTGCGTGTCCCGAGGAAATGTTTAGCGACGTGAGGCGGTAGGATATTGTAGATTAGCGCTTCGTTTTTTTGTCGCATGTCAGCCACGCGCTGCTTCTGCGTGTCCACCTCACGTCTCCAGAGGAAAAGGCGTCGTGTCGTGTACTCCAGCTGGCGGCAACAGATGACCAAAGAAACACCGACCGCCACCAGATACACGGACAGGAGGCCACCATGTCCAATAGCTATGTCAAAAGCGCCTGTACTGCCCTCATTTGCCTCAGATGTTGTAAAACCCAAACTGTCTGGCGGTACTGTGATTCCACCAGCGGCATTCGACGACATTGAAAGCAGCGCGCTGTTTGAGCCATACGCGCGATTGTCAAATGCCTCGAATGATGCGCTCAGCGAAGTCAGGTTCAGTAGACACTGGGCTAATACAATTGCTGATACAAGCAGCAATTTGACGAGGTAGCTCACGTGTGTGAGGAGGGTAACGGCCGCTAAGCCAGTAATAACCATCTGCGTCGCGTAAGCTGGAAATCGCACTACTGGAGACTGCCATGCGGCTTCTGTTGGCTTAGGGCTGCTGTTTCCGCCCGATGGTGTAGACATGTCCATGTCCGGTGAGTTTGTTTGACAGCCAGCTATTACCTGTAATAGGCAATCGTAACATTAACCCGATTGGATCATGGGTAAATTTAACGCGAGCAGTATCGTTTTTCTCCCATCCACATTGGGTCAAGTTGAAAATAAGAGGTTCCTCTTTCTTTAACATGAAATAACTCTGTTCGTATATAACAAAAATCAACATATTATGACGCATCCACTTTGTTGAATTAAGCTATTGATGTCTATATTACTTTCTGACACTATTACTTAGCTCTGATATAGCGAAAAACAAATGGAAAAAATCTGGTATGTCCGGTACACTGAAACGTGTCTGTACAACTATGTATTCTTTCTTCTGCAAGTCAGTGAAAAGCATTATTACATACTATTGTTGCAACATGTAAAACCGTCCAGAGAAGTACAATGACCAGCACGATGACGAATCGTGCCGACGATTTCGCTCGGACAGCGGATGACATCGCCGTGACGGTCTTCGGCGCCGATTTGACTAAGAGCGGGGTGACGCAGAGACCTGTAAGTACGGTTAGAACGACAAGCCCACCCGCATACAATGTATAGGATACGGGAGAGCTGCGTCATTGGTCACGAATCAAAACAAATTGAAGCCATCATGTTAGTTTATGGACGAACGATTGTCCTATGTATATATAGAGAGAGATGGAGAGAGAGAGAGTAAATAATTCTCGGTTTCGCTATGCAAGTTTGCATACATTCTTATGCGAACGCTATATTTTTCCCACAAACTATGTGAATGTATGTTGTATCTGAGGTGTGATGATGGACTTACTTGTCAAATAAGATGAGGAAGACAATTCCATTGCAAAGTGTTACAAGTGGAAAAGCAGCTAGACTGACGCAATTCGACGAATCGTTGACCGTCGTATATTGGCGCTCGAGATCGGTGTCACGGAACGCCAATGTCAATGGGTGCACTGACCGCGCCAGTTGCGCTCCTGTATCACGCGCTAGAAGCTCGCTTTGAAGGCGAGTTCGATACTCAGCGCCCCCGCCAGTTGACGCCTCCATTGGTACCACGTTTGTACTTACATCGGATTTTGTGGTACCATGATCACCACCTCTGTCCGTCAGCGCTGGATTATCAAGTGTTCCTTCAGGATACTATAACAACCAAAAGCAATGGATTCGTTGGACAAAGTTACGCACGTACTGGGAAGAAGAAAGTAATTGTGTATGGGACTAGATTTTGAATAAACCAACCAATTAATATCGTCATATCTAGTATAAGTAAATAGCAAATGAGACATTTGTGTATTGATATGGATAGTCATATAAAAATGATAATAAATGTGTATGAATAGTATGTAAAACAGTATATATACATATGTGCTGACACTCGCAATCTGTTGCAGACAAAAATGTTAAGAGGCAAATACTTCTTTAGGATCATTCGAAAGTTCTCGGGTGACCAAGTTGTCGAATGTAAACGTCGCAAGCAGGAAAAGATGTTGATTGATAGGCAGTCCCCAACGCTTTTCTTCAGTACAGTTGTTTCTTTCCTCTAAAATCAGCAGGTATATGCTTCTGTAAAGTAACTTGTACGGCGTGAAGTTCCCCCATTGTACTTACCGCAATCCTGGACTCAATAAATAGGCAATACTTATTTGCGATGATAGTTTCCAGTAATTTGCTTTTGGTAACAAAACGTATAAGGATCGTCTCGAGTTGACACTCGCTCTAGGTAGATGCTGTAATTTCCTGCGTTTAGTATGTTGTGTTCCGTGCGTCATTTCTCTTTCATGTATGCTCTACCATTTAGAAGGCGTCATCGTTTATCAGTGCCGTGGCACAGAGAATAACCCCAAGAACCAGTCGCATCCTTCGTGATACTTACCGGTTTAATCACTTTCACGATGAAAAAAGTTTTTATACCGGCCAGACGGATAGCTTCCTCTCGGGAAGCCCCATCCGCATTCGTCACCTCGAATTCATCATGCAGGAACTTGAGAGTTGCCTGTCGAATATAAATAAAAGTACATTGTCAATTGAAGGTCCTGCTACATAGATCACATGTATGCGAAGGCCTGTGGTCATTTGGCAGTTTCTTTCCTTTTAGAAATCCTAACTCGTTGCTACGTTTGAGAATTAAGGTTCTTATTCTCCAACTGCTGCGTTCGTTCAAAAATACGTCGATTCTACCAGGTGACGTCCAGTATAATTCACCTAATTCCCTTGGCAGTGGAACGATACCGGGAGTGCGTGAACTTAAAAATCCGTGATAAAAATCACGGTCCACATGCGGGCCGGCACGCGCGCACGATCTCTTTCACGCTCAAAGCAGTGCTTAGTGGCAGCAGCGGGTGTAAAGCCTTTTTAACACATTTACGTACGTAAGTAATTATAAGTAGTGTAAATTTTTGTAGAACCATTTGGCAGTACACGAGTAACTGCCAAAGAACGATTTGAATGATAGGTACGTGGCTGTGCGTGGCCAAAGTTACGGCTTTTTAGTAAATATTAATAACGAATATTCAATGGGAAGTTGGATTTTAGGACATACAAGATGACGTTTAGTTTTAAATAAAGCTCAAAATCGATATGCGTTCAAAAAAAAATAAAGCATTCAGCTTTTATGAATATCCAAAATTAATTAAAATAAGTGACCTTGTTAAGAAGTGGCGATAAGTGCTTTTCTCGTCAGAAAAAACATGGTTCTATGACTTCTAACGCTTTATTTATTTACTTACCTCGGAAATGTGAACCCGCCCCGGTAAACCGCCCGATTCCATTTTATTAGCCAGTACGACGTCCTGGAATGAAAAGCGACACCTTTTGGTGAAACGGTCCTGCTAAACATCCTGCTAGTATCAATTATTATAGTCAATTGCTTGTTTGAACGCATTTCACACATTGATTTACAAACAAGCTATCAACTCAGTAATCTTTTTCAGTGAACAACTCAGTTATTTTTTTTAAGATGTTTTTAAGGCTAACGCATTTCCTTGCATTGTTTGCTGCTAGCCTGGATATTATATTTCCAAGTTATAAGGCTCACGAATACCAAACACGAACGGGTTGCTTATAAATCTCTTGTTTATAATTTCTTGTAGATATGGTCATCGAAGCTAGGTTACTATTGAAAGCCCAACCTGCGTAGATTTTATTAGGATAGAGCAACAAAGCTCAAAGAGGAGTACTGGTGCTATTTCAACCCTGCGCATGAGTCCCCAATATAAAAATTTCTCCAATAAAAAATAGGTTCAGCTGCGATTAATCTATCGCGAAGCTCTAAGCCATGGGCTCATCAGATTAGACGGAAAAATATATTACCGGCAAGATATCATAACTCCGATGCTCTCACCAGCAGAGATTATCAAGAGAGAAATAAGCATCTGGCAATAGGACGTAACAGTTGAAGATTGTACGTATACAGTGGGTATTACACAAAGCGGCCAGTTACGGAAATAGGCGCCAGGTCTTTTCTTGGCCGAGCCTCCCGTGGCAGGACTGCCTTATAGCTTCCTACTCTCCCAGAGCACTCGGTGGCATGAGGTGTGCGCTCGTCCTCGTAGCCACGCATGCCCCTCCCGCTTGGTATGGGCAGCATTTTTCCACTTCTCGTTTATCGCGCCAGTTCGAAAAACATGAGAATCGACCAGGGTCCCATTAAATTGAAGATTGCATTTGTCTACCATTTGGCCTTGAACCATCGAGCGTTCCAGGCAAAAGTGCCCTAACTTGATAGTTAAAAATTACCTGAGAACCAAGACAGAGTCAACATCTTTTAGCCTCGTCGAACTACAACACGGTACGGCAAAATGATACGAGCTGGGATACATTTCGCGTACGGTTATAACTATTTGTTTTGTCTAAGAGTTAATAGGAGCTAAAGATGTATCCGTTTTTTGGAACTCGCATTCCGGATCGTGGCTGAACAAGGTGTGGTATTTACGCACCCCACTCTCGTGTAGTAAGTGTCAATGAATTATGATAACAATAGTTATGACTACAACCATTATCAATGTTATTATCGTTGCATTATATTTCATGCTATAATATATGTCTCTATAGTAATTCCACAATAATGGATAAGCTGTTCCTTTCTGTCCTTGAACTAATGCCATGTGTGTAACTTTTTGATGGCGAAGTAAGGCGACCCCTATTCGGAATAGCAACCCTGCAAGCTATATAACACGTACCCACTTTGGGGCCCAAGGGAGAAATGGATCGTGTGTAACAAACCTAGTAAACTGCTATCAGACAATGGGTCAGGGATTTCGGCCCTATAAGCTCCGTCGGGTCCGGAACGGTGACTCCAACTTACCCCTTGAAAGTCGGTGGCTTTCATCACATATTTTATGAGTGCTCACCCAATCACTTACATCCATTTTTTTCGCACTTTGCCGCAGCCACCACCTTTGCTCTCGATATAAACTTTGCTAAGGAACAAAAGGTATATTTTCATCTTTGACTGGTTTGCTGCAGGCCTCGTACGCTGTCCTCGGAGAACTGGCCATGATTTAAGTCCCCCTTTCTCTGGCAAGCCTCTCTCTACGACTATTCTACTAATAATAAAAACGCTTGGATAGAGCTATTCGTTCGCGTATGCATACAATTCCAAAAGTGTGTCTGTTTAATAGCAGTAGTATTAGGCAGTTCAGGAGACTCGAAAACTGGAAGCTATGAAACATTCTAGGCACTTTAGGTTTGGCCAAGGGTCAAAAACCGATAACACTGGTCGACGTTTGGATTAAGTTAATTGCTAAAGTAGACACAAGAGGACACAAGGAAAGCAACTCATTAATTCGGCCTGTACGCGAAAACAGCAATAGGTTTATTAGGGTGGAGAAGATAGTGAATTTTTGTAGTGACTATCGCTGAATACGAATATGGAAGTAGACCTTGACATTGTTGTAACTGTTTTCTATTATTTTAAGTTAAAGAGACCATTAATAATAATTTAGCGTTTTCGCCATGACATGTAATGTTTCTGTGAAAACTATGTGATCACTTGATACCCTTGAAGATAAGTCTTTCTGTATGTCTTTTGTTGGAATTGTAAGTAGGAACTTGATTGTTTCGTAAGAGTAATTACAAGCGAAACGAATCAACAGTGATAAGTTCTGCGATTTAGCGTATTCACTCGCTCCAGCTGCTTTAAATCGTGCGTACAGCTAGAAGTCATTTGAGAGGATAGCGAAACTTTAAGTATGGAGATGCGGTTCTAATACATTAGCACTGCCTGACCCCTTTGCTTGAAAAATATCGATGATGATAATGATTTCGTGGATGTATGCACAGCAGACGTAAGACAGGATGCAGAGGAACGAGGATGCGTTTGTGTCAGTCCACTCGCATGGAAAAAGAGGGAGGCGCAGGAACTTCTCCGACCGTCTGATGAATCGCCGCTTTCCAGGCGATTTTCACACCGTGCTTGACAAGGAGAGTTTTTTACCATCGGCCAAATACAAATAGGTGGGTAGCCCTAGCAGTGAGGTTTCTGATGAATGTTGCGTCCCAGGTGAACCACTTCTACGTTATGACATAATCTATAAATTTATATATACGATAGCTATTAGCAGGTGGTGCGAAGCACATTGGATATTATATGTACGTCAAAAGAGTACGTGAGGAAGGGACACAAACCATTCATCTACGCGACAAAACAAATTGCACGGTTTAGCCTTCAATACCAGCCAAACTACATCAGAACAACGTTTTCATATGGAGCATCCTTTAATAACGACCTCTAGCTGGATGGAACATTTTTACACCTCGAGTACACGTTTCCATTATTTATATTGTACATATATATATATATATATATATATAATGGAGACAAAAATTTACCGTACTGATATAGTACTGAGAAAATATACTAGTAATGGGTATATTTGACTTAGGCTTTAAAGGAGCACACGGATTATGGAAACAGTGGTAGTAGTTCATTGATTTACCTTTGAGTAGACGTCAAACTGCCATTGACGCTGGCCGAGCACTCCAGCAAGGATGGCACCTGTGTGAATTCCGACACGCATATCCACACCGGATTTTGTCTGCTCACGAACTGATCTGAAATGTAAGAAAGCAGAGACGTCTGGTATGTCTAACTACAATGTCTACAGAGCTAAAGAAATAGATACTGAATAGATCTCGACATCTGTCTCAACAATTGTCTCACTGTCTCAAACATCAAGGCTCAGAAAACAAATACAAATATTTTTCTGTCACTGAGCCATGCAAGACCCTCTAAGTCTCCTTTTTACGTACTTATAGGCCCGAAGCTGTGTACTTCGAATATACCCCCTAACGATCTAGATGGTACTTCACATTTCTCCAGATTTTGGAAAATGTTATAATTTATGTTGTAATCCACATTTGTAATTATTTAAGAAATGCTTTCAGCTACAGATGTTGAATATAATAATGATTATTTTATTCTATATAGTAGTAAAACATTTAACGGTCAGCTAATACGAAAACCTGAATTCTAAATATTCGTGGCCCTACTGAACGGCGACTAGGTCAGGTGGCTAGAAGAAGAACAAACTTCTTCTGTTTTATTATTTTGCTCGTGAGCACGAGTTTGTGCCACAGAAGATTTATTATCTCATACTAAGAATACTGATGTAGATGATAAGGTGTATACGTACCACAGACTCCTTTCCACATTTGTCGACCTATAGCACACAAGTAACTCTCGCTACGCTATTGGAACTCAAGCACGCTGTTACGGTATACTTCGTCTTATCATTAGCCTGCACCAGGTGTCCTTCTAGCTGCCTCAAATACTTTCTCCGGTAAACGAAGCTCAGCAATGATTCCGCTTCAACAAACTATAATGGCCATTAAATTCAAAATTTTATCTTTTCCACTACATCGACTGAGCATTGCTCAGTCGATCAATGTGCTGTGCGACCAAATCAGACGTTCTATTCTGTTCCATATGCCGCGGCAGAGCTCTTCTAGACGAGCACTCACAGTCGGATCTCTCGTCTTGAATCGGAAAACGTTGATGGCGTACATCTTTATGCGAGTTGTGTAACCAATTATAAGGCAGCCCAGCCAAGTAAATTAATCGCGCACTTCTGTTGCGAGGCGATTATACGACCGCCGTACCTATAGTGCTTACTTTTCTTCGCGTCTCGGCTGGTAATATTATTAAAGCGTATTTGCAGCGAATCGCCCACGCCTTGTGCGTATGTCGTTTCCGGATATGCCAACCGTTGGCAGCCGTTTGCAGTCGCCGTACAGGCACGTTGTTTTCGTAGGGACTAAATTAGCTGACTTACCAACGGGCGCGACTACTTATTATGCTCTAAATGCAGCTTTGCCAATACTTTGTAAGGTACAGCCAACTGGGAAGCAGCGCTAAACGTCGGACGCTAATGGGTGTCTGACGCATAAAAGCGCCACATGGAAACTAACTGAGGCCGAAGCTGAACTGGAGCAGAACGCTGCCCCTTCCTCCCGTATTCCCATCATTGAACTACACACAGGAAGGGTCACGTCGGCAAATCCTAAATTTAAAATGCTAGCATAATAACTCACTCAAGCTTCAAATGATGCGGCTGTGAGAACGGAAACGCAGGTATAAGAACGAGTATTAACGGAAGTTCGATTAAACTTGTAGAATTGATGACCGCCTCTGTCTTTAAACAGATTCGGTATGTCAATGAGCGTTGTATTCTAACAAGTTGCAAGGCCTATAAATGTGTACGGACATAAAGCTTTTCCACAACAACTCCACTAAATTATAAAATTCCTGCTTGGGGACGAGCTGCTTCGTTTGATCGCGATTTCAAATGCACTTTTGCCTAAAAGTGTTTCTGGGTGCGTTTTCATGTTGTTCGTTGTGTGTCATTTTATCATAAGGTCGAAAATGCATTTTCTTCTTTTCTCCAACCTATAATTCTCTATGAATTCTCTACGAATTTTCTACGGGTATATGTACCGCAGAAAGTGCTCGAGTTGTATCGGGTTCTGTTGTGGAAGGTTCGATCACTTGTGCTTAGGAAACAAGGAAGAGTGGGAAAGGAGCGAGAGGGGGGGGGGGAGGCGGCTTTTCAAATCTTTAAGCCACCTCTTTAATCAGGATGTTCTTTCACCATTAAGATTAAGTCTCACGTTTTTTATGTCTAATATAACATTAAGACAGATAGGAGGATGTTCGGCGCGGCAGAATGAAGGTTGACATAGGAAGGTTGAGTGACCTATTCGAACTTTTAAACAGTATGATCGTTTATCGCTGTTCGGTTTTGATCGTATTCCGAAAGTTGTGCTTCTATTACTTTTACTCAAAACATAGTTTTAGTTCAAAGCTGGCCAAACTTTTTGTGCTTCAATAGAAGCGAAAAACGCTACCATTTCGCCGACATATAGGTTTGCCAATACTGGTAACGCCTAGGTCTATTAACTATGTGCGTTAACGCAGTATTGTCGCCTCCCCCTTTTATCTCGATGTCTTCCTTCCTTAGGAAGTCCGTTTAAAAATATTTTACCTCAAATACTTTTCGAGGTTTCAGTTTGTTTAGGTGATTGTTTGGGAAACCAACCATCAGGTATAACACTATGTCATTATGACTTTGCAGTGAACATTCAACAAGCTCTAGGCGGCTGCAATAAATGCTATGCCTGGCATTATGGCGCGTATGTTCGTTTACCCCTTCGGTAATAGACGGCCCAGGAGCTCTCTTCGTCTGCTCTGCTGTTCGGGGACTGTTTTTCAAGGAAAACCTTACGTACGTCTTAGAAAATGGTAGATTTAGGAAGAAGCCAGAGTAGGTTCGGAGGCGTCGCCACCTATGGCTGCTGATACGGCTGGTGCAATTGCTAATTATCGCTTATTTGATCGATACGTTTTTCATGTCGTTTGACGGAGGCAGAACAATTTCTCTAGGAGCTATGAAAATAATAAAACTTCGGATATTCGTTCTGGCCCCTAACAACGCAGAGTCGTTTGCTGAATCCACACCAGCTAATAGTAATAATTGCAGTAGGAAAAGGAAGAACTAGAAAAAAAGACGTCTCTTAGGGTAGCTTTGCAGTAGCGACACGGCTGGCGTAGCTAATCGAGAAGAAAAGTCGCGTTCGTGGTGACGACTGTAACAGAACTAGGACCTAATGCAGAAACGATTGAACAAGTTCGTGCGCTTATTGTATCGCCGCTAGGCCTTGAGCAGTCAGCGGGTCAAGCTCATGAAAAAGGGCTCAGATCAGTCGGCCGACCACAACGACGGGGATGCCTCTTGCAGATGGCGGAGGAATGAACTCTTTTTCCTGCGGCAGGCTCCGATTTCCTGTGTCTTGCTCTTTCTGGTTGTTCGTACCTTTCCTTTTTGTCCCCCTAACAGATTAAGAATTGTCTGGCTTTCAAAAGGAAAACGTACAAAATACTGCTTGTAAATGACATGAGTATATATGATGCTGAAAATGCTCGAAAGCAAAAGTTTATTACTTACTAACGTATTTTTTGATTGAATCTAAAACACATTTACAAAAAGGGGGGCGTGTGGCACACAAAAGCAGCATTCTGTGACATTGACTACAAATCATTCGTTAAGGAGAAAAGCAGCTGCGCTGCGTCCACGAAATCACCCGCACATCTGCCACGCTCAATGGCTTTAGGAGCCACGGTAGTTCTGCCACAAAGATTAATGGCTGTAAAGTCAAAATAGTGGGTTGTAAGATCTGCCTCGTGGAGTGAAAAAGAAGGAAAGCGAGCATTTTGCTTTTCAACCAGCGATACGATGGGAGACAAATTAATGTAAACGTGCCCTACAGGTGCCTCCAACGTGTTCGTGCGCATTTTCTAAACACAAGCATAAATTTGTGTTTCATGAGACGTAGTTTCCAGATCCCAAAACAACGTAAAAGTTTTGATTAGACAACGGTATTGTATAAACGAATATAGACTCCTTTTTTTTTTGCTAGAAAATATCTAAAAATTATGTTTACAAGTACTGCACGTAATTGCATTAGTTGAGATTTGTATTTACTGAAGCCTAGTATACGCGAAGGTCCCGAGAACAGGATACCGTACGGAGAATCACATGACCAATTCTTTAATCAAGATTAAACGCTTCCCTCTGCGATGCTGTACATTTTTTATTAGAAAACTGCATTAACGTACCATGCTATCAACTGCTCTTTAAAGGATGCGAGGTATAGCTTTGAGATCAGTAGAGTTTTAAGTCATATCCATATTCGTAACATTTGAGTTTAGATAGGATATATTTATTCATATCAAGTATAAAAACTCCGTATGGTAGAGAGGAAATATAACTTCCTCGAGAAGGATCGCGAGGGCGAGTGGCGGGAAATTCAAAATCTTTTCAATTTTCACACGAAATTTAAACCATTGTTAACCATTTAGGTGGTTACCCAAGTAAGTCATCTTCCCACGTAGGGTCCCATAATTTGCTTCACCAAAAGCACTCTTTTGATCAAAATAAACGCAGTGGCATAGTTTGCAACGGTTTACACATTCGATTAGCTTCCGCACTTTTTTCTCTGTTCCTGTGGCAATATATTATTATTATGTTATGTATTTTTCGTCATTGGTCATTACTTTCTTTAATTTTTCGACCAAACGATGTCAGTTCTCTCGACAGGAGGTAGCGGCTTTCATATGAAAAAAGTTTTCCAACCATGTCTTGTTAAACTGCCCAATGAACGGAAAAGTGAGAAACCGTCGGTGCAAGGCCCGGAAAATATGTAGTGCGCAGCAAAACCTTCTGTTCAAAGTTCAGGCGGCAGCGTGGACAATTTTTGCCACGTGTGACTTTGCGTTGTCATAGAGTAGGATGACCCGGCCTCATTGATCAGGTCTTTTGTATTAAATAGCATGGTTGACTCAATGTAGCTAAACCAAATGAATGTGTCAACCAATTAATTGTCTGGTTCGCAAGAAGCGATTCCTAGTGAATTAGGCCTCTGCATTTCCATCAAATATAAAGCAAAATAATTTTTCCAAATGAAAATTTAATTGGACACTAAGTCTTAGCTTCTCTCCTGAAGCGACTCATTCTAATCTTCTGTTTATGTTAACCTGCAGATACCACTTCTCATCA